GTGCAACCATTTTTTTTAAAATAAAAATGTTATTTTATATGTAATATTTTTAAGATCTTTTTTCATATAACAATATATAAGTTGAACACCACTTCATTTTCAAATATAAAAAGCTTTCCTGCCCTGGCTTTTTTTGCTCAGTGGTTAGAGCATCAGCCTGCACACCAGAGGGTCGCAGGTTCAATTCTTGGTCAAGGGCACGTACTGGGTTGCAGGTTTGATCCCCAGCTCTGGTCTGGGTCATGCAGGAGGCAACCAATCCACGTGTCTCTTTCACATCAATGGTTCTCTCTTTCTCTTTCCTTCCCTCCTTTGCACTCCATCTAAAAAATCAGTGGAAAGATAACCTCGGGTGAGGATTATCCCCCCCCCCCCCCCCCGTCCCAAAAAAGCTTCCCCATTTTTTTTTATGGCTGCATAATGGATGGATGATAATTTTTTTTTTTTTTTTTTATCCTCACCCTAGGACATTTTTCCATTTTTTGTTCAGGTAGAGTGGGAGGGAGAGAGAGGAACAGAGAGAGAGAGAAACATCGATGTGAAAGGAACACATCGAGTGGCTGCCACCCACACAACCGACCAGGGCTGGGGACAAACTGCAACCGAGGTACGCGCCCTTAGCGGGAACCGAACCCGGGTCTCTCAGGACCGCAGGCTGACGCTCTAACCGCTGAGCCAAACAGACCAGGGCTGGATGATAATTTTTTGACCCTCCTCCTATTGATGGGCATGTAGATTAAAAAAATATTTTTCCCCCTTTATTGATTTTAGAGAGAGCAGAAAGGAGAGGGAGAGAAATAGAAACATCTGTGACAGAGAACATCAACTGGCTGTCCCCTGGTGACCCCCCCACTGGGGATTTGTCTCACAATCTGGGCATGTGCCCTGACCGGGAATCAAACTGGCAACCTCTTGGTGCATGGGTTGATACTCAACCACTGAGCCACACCAGCCGGGCTAGATTGTTTTTAATCATAACAGTGATTTTAAAAAAGACAAAACACAAAATAAATAAAGATAATTATGATATTGATGTAATGAATAATTTTGTGTAAGTATACCTGTGGGGCTGAGTTTTGGAAGTGGAATTCCTGGACTAAAGGGTATGTGCATTTGTAAATTTGATAAATATTGCTATTTGTTATAGCAATATTATATAAACCCTCCCTGGAGGCAGTATCAAAGAAGTCTCACCAGCACCCTTGTTAGTAGACAAGGTATTATCAAACTGTTTTACCTCTGCTCTTTTAAAAATATTTTTCAGCCCTGGCCAGTTTGGCTCAGCGGTTAGAGCGTCAGCCTGCGGTCCGGAGAGACCCGGGTTCGGTTCCCGCTAAGGGCACGTACTTCAATTGCAGTTTGTCCCCGGCCCTGGTTGGTCGTGCGGGTGGCAGCCACTCGATGTGTCCCTTCACGTCGATGTTTCTCACTCTCTCTCCCTCCCACTCTGTATATTTTATCTTTTCTGTTATTCTTGTTCATTTCTAAATTTAAACCTTTTAAAAATGAATAATGTGCCCTGGCTGGTCTTGCTCAGTGGTTAGAGCATTGGCCCATGGACCAAAGAGTCCCGGGTTTGGTTCCTGCTAAGGGCATGTACTTCAGTTACAGTTTGTCCCCAGCCCTGGTTGGGGTTGTGTGGGTGGCAACCACTTGATGTGTCTCTCACATTGATGTTTCTCTCTCTCTCTTTCTCCCTCTTTCCCTCCTGCTGTATCTGAGAATATGCAAAATTGTCCTCAGGTGAGGAATGAAATAAATAAATAAATAATAATGTAGCTCTGGTCAGTTTGGTTCAGCTGTTAGAGCATTAGCCTGCAGGCCAAAGGGTCGCAGGTTTGATTCCTGGTCAAGGGTGCATACCCGGGTTGCAGGTTTGATCTCCAATCCCAGTCGCAGTCATGCAGGAGGCAACCAATCGATGTGTCTCTCCCACATCGATGTTTCTCTCTCTCTTTCTCCTTCCTTTCCACTCTGTAAAAAATCAACGGAAAAATATTCTTGGATGAGGATTAACCAAAAACAAACAAAGAAAAAAGAATGGTGTATTTTTAGCTAGACTCAAGAAACTTATTTTGAAATTTGCAACTTGGCTGTATTTGATTCAATTGTAGTGAATCCTAGTTCTTTTTTTTTTTTTATCCTCACCCGAGGACATTCTTGAATTTATCTTTAGATAGAGCGGGAGGGGGAGAGGGAGGAAGAGAGAGAGAAACATCTATGTGAGAGAGACACATCAAGTGGTTGCCACCCACACGACCCCAACGGGGGCTGGGGACAAACCATAACCAAGGTACGTGCCCTTTGCGGAAACCGAACCCGGGACTCTCTGGTCCGCAGGCCACCACTCTAACCGCTGAGCCAAACCGGCCAGGATGAATTCTAGTTCTTAAGACACTTACAAAGTCATTTGTGAGAGACCTTCATTCTTATTACTAATCTTTTTTCTGCTACTAACTACCTTTGTTGTCCTGCACTCTTTACTTTTCCTCATTGGGAATGTAAGAATCTGGATCAGATCTATACTTCTAGCTCTGCCCCTGTTGATTCTGAAATAATTAGCTTCCTAGAGGGTTCATATCTGCTCACGAAAGCTGTCTTCAAGCTGGGCACTATCGTACTCCAAGTGGCTGAAGGTTGTCTGGATTTTGGACTTTTAGTCCCTTGTGGTCAGGTAGTGGCCCACCCTCAAAGCCAAGTCAGGAAGCTCACTGTTCACCTTTCAGAGCTAAATGAATATTTAGTTGGGTACTTAAAGATTTCGGGCCCTTGTTTGGAATTGCTTGAAGGATTTTAGTGTCTCTTTTGACATCTGTTTTTCTTCTCCATTTCCTCTTCTGGGCTCTTAGTCCTCAGACTTACTATCCTTAGGTCTCCCAGAGCTGCCCTCATTATCTACTCCTTTCTTCCTCTCTCTACCTCCTGTCCCTCCTTCACCTCCCTCTTTACCTCTCCCCTACCCGGGGAAGGCAGTGGGGTTTAGGAGTTAAAAGAACTACCTTTGTAGCTTGTCTGGCTTGTGTTCTGATCCACCTTTGCCTCTCTTCAGCTGTGTGACCTTTGTTAAGATTTAGAGTGAATAAATGCAAAATGCTAGCACATGGTTATTCTAGGAGGTATCAAAGTGAATTAGATTGCCCATTATTAGTAGTAATAGACTCTTTTTTAATTTAATTAATTTATTTTTGTTACAGATGTTTCTCCTCTTCCCTCCACTGATTCCCCCCCAGTAATAGACTCTTAATACATTAAAGTTGTCAGGAGCTTTTATACATGATTCACTGATTCTTCATAAATAGCCCCGCATGGTTGGTAGGAATAGTATCCCATTTTTCAGATTAGGAAACTGAAGCTCAGGATGGAGAAGTGACCTCTGCAAGGTCACAGCTAATAAATGTCTGAGCCAGAATGCAAATTTAGGTTTTGTCATTACAAAGTCAACCTTCTTCTGAATACTTGAACAATTTCTCCTTTGTCAAAAAGATCAGAAAAGTTCAAACCTCTAGAAACATGGATCAGCTGCCTCCTGCACACCCGCTACTGTGGATCAAGCCAGCAAACTGATCATGTGTCCTGACCAGGGAATCAAACTGAGACATCTCAGTCCATTGGACGATGCTCAGTCTGGCGAGCCACAACAGCTGGGCAGGAACTGACTTTTTAACTTAATTTGTTAATGTAAATAATAGAGCCACAGGTGGCTAGTGGCTGCCATATTGGCTAGCACAGTTCTAGATGAATAGTTGCAGCCCAGCACCTGTGTAAGTCAGTTACAGTCGTCCCTCGCCACTTTGCACTTCGCACTTCGACTTGCGTGGCTTCACTCTATCGCAGTTTTTTCAAATATATTCACTAAAAAGTTGATTGAGACAGTGAAAATGATACAGCACGCACTCGGTTGTCTGAATCAATTATACACCCCTGTATTAAAATTAAAATTAAGCCCTGGCCGGTTTGGCTCAGCGGTTAGAGCATCAGCCTGTGGTCCGGAGAGACCCGGGTTCGGTTCCCGCTAAGGGCATGTACCTCGGTTGCAGTTTGTCCCCGGCCCTGGTTGGTCTTGCGGGTGGCAGCCACTCGATGTGTCCCTTTCACATCGATGTTTCTCTCTCTCTCTCTCCCTCCTGTTCTATCTGAACAAAGAATGAAAAAGTGTCCTCGGGTGAGGATAAAAAAAAAAAAAAAATTAAAATTAAAATTTCTGTATGTATGGACTGTGAGCCTATGTATTCGAGCACCCGAGGAAGCCTTCAACACCAGGTGCAACCACTAGAGTCTGGAACGGATTAACCACGATAAACAAGTGGCGACTGTATGGGCATTGTCTCTCCCATCTCTTTCTACCTCCCACTGCCCCTTCCAGGGTGGGTCTCATTTTTGGATGGGGCGGATACCTTCTGAATTTAATTTTTATTGCTTCTTTAATTCTAACAGTGTGAAGAGTGCCAGTGCTGGCAGCATGGGGTCTGCATGGGATTACTGGAAGAAAACGTGCCTGAGAAATACACCTGTTATGTTTGCCAAGACCCTCCAGGTAGAGATTTCTGGAGTCAGGGATATTAACAGTATGTAGCTCTTTCCTTGGCACAGCTGGTCGTGAAGCAGCCTAAGTGTCTGTGGTCTTGAGACTCATTTCTTTCTTCCTTTTTTAATGTATCTTTATTGTTGAAGGTATTACAGATGTCCTTCCTTTTCACCCTCTTTAACTCCCCTTCTCCAATCCCCTGACTCATTTCTTCAGCATGGATTGGACTCTGACTTCTCTTGCTTTTGTTGATCAGCCTGGTGGCCAGCTTTCCCGAGCTTAGCAGTAAGAGACCATGTGTGAAGAGGTTTGCCAAGTTGAAGAGCTGACCTGGAGCCAGAATGTATTTTTTATTGTAAAAATCATGTAACATGAGATCTACCCTCTTAACATTTTAAATGTATTGTTTATAAAAAAGCAGTGTTATGCAACAGATCTCTAGAACTTACTCATCTTGCATGACTAAAACTCTGTGAAAACTATGGAATGCTCTACAAATTGGTGTTATCATTGTGTAAAGGCCATGCTAATATTCTCTGTATCAGTCCAGTTTTAGAACTCTCCTTTTCTTCAGTGTTCATGAGGATGTGGGCCCTGTCATTGGCTTTTAGGAGCTGGTGGAGGGTTAGAAACCTGCCTCTGCTCCCTCTGGTGGCACCTGCCCTCTGTTGCTTCATTGCCACCAAGAAGGGAGATGTGGCCCTGGCCGGTTTGGCTCAGCGGTTAGAGCGTAGGCCTGCGGTCCTGAGAGACCCGGGTTCGGTTCCCGCTAAGGGCGCATGCCTCGGTTGCAGTTTGTCCCCGGCCCTGGTCGGTCGTGCTGGTGGCAGCCACTCGATGTGTTCCTTTCACATCGATGTTTCTCTCTCTCTCTCTGTTCCTCTCTCTCCCTCCCACTCTACCTGAACAAAAAATGGAAAAATGTCCTCGGGTGAGGATAAAAAAAAAAAAAAAAAGAAGGGAGATGTGCCCTTGAGGGAAAGGGGAAAGTTGTGGTTTCAAAGAGCCTATCTGCCACCCAAAAGAGGGAATTAATTCCTTATCAGGATCAGTTAGTTTCATTGTTCCAGGGCTGGCCCATGGCTCTTGGGTGCCCCTTTCCAGAAGTCTCAAGGGTAGATTATAAATCTGTTGTTCTTGTCTTACTGTCAGTAGGATGATGACATCCTCTCCCTTCACCACCTGTAGTCTCCTGTCAGCTCCAGTCCCATGATTCCCTTTCAGATAGACAACACTTGAGAACCTCTGCTTCTGTTATTCCTTTTAGTCCTGTAGGGGCCTGGTAGGAACTCCTGCTCCCATTTTTGCTGATGAGAAAGAAATTGATGATAATGGGTATGAATGACTTTCCTAATCTCATAAAGCAAATTGAAATTAGAACTGGCTTGTGGGGCCAAATCTCTTTATTTTGCTGGTTGTGTGGGGCTGACCACCAGTAATTTTTCCAGCAAGTCGGTCCCCTCGGGGCCTGGTAACCTCTGTTGTGATACTGTGTCTCCTTGTGCAAGATTAGGCCATAGACAAAGAGGAACTGGCTTCTGTTTTCTCCATTATCTCAAAGGAAGAATGTGGTCAGAAGATTAGTTTATGAGTCATAGAATATCATTATTATTATGTAATATGTTTTTATTGATTATTTTAGAGAGAGAGGAAGGGAGAGAGAGTCAGAAACATCGATGTGAGAGAGAAACATCAATCGGCTGCCTCCCACACGCTCCCCACTGGGGATCGAGCCCGGTAACCCAGGCATGTTCCCTGACGGGAATCGAATCGGGACTTCTCAGTCCATGGGACAACGCTCAATCCACTGAGTCACACTGGCCAGGCATAGAATATTATTGATAGGCAGCATCTCAGAGATCACTTAGTATAGCCCTAGCATTTGACAGGTGAGCAAATACAGGCCCAGAGAGGACAGGACAGAAGGGGGGAACCAGTGTCTCTGACACTTGTCTTGTGAAAACAGGCAGTGCTGCTCTGAATGCTGTTCAGGTGGCTCCTACAGCAGCTGCCCCAGAGATTCCACATATAATCCCGAGGGCTTCTTAAGGCACTGTTTTAAAATCTCTTTTGTCTACTTTATTGTCTCCCATTCTTTCTCTTTTCTCTTTTTAGGAATCATGTACATTATCTTCATCAATCCCTACATACTTTCTGAACTTCAATAATTCTAATTGCCAAGACTGTGAATAGATTTCTCCTCGAATTGAGCACTCATTGTTTGTCACATTTATAGACTTGGTTGAACTCTACAGTGTCTTGGGACAGAAGTTTAACCTAATAGATTAAAAAGTTACTTAAAATATTTTTTAACAGAATCAAGGTGCATCCCTGCCATGTGTTTTGGTAAAGCCAGGAAGAGCCCAGGGACCTTGAGAGGGATTAATGGGGTTATTTTGGGGTTTTTAGATATCAGGAGGTGAGCAGTTTTCTGATTAAAAGTTGTTCCCTGGGCTTTTGGAGCAGGAAACACTGCCAAGTTACATGGGTTTGTATTTTCAGTCCTTCCTAAGAGTCCCTGTAGTGAACAAGACCCCTGAAGCCATCCTGTTCATCTGTCGTTATAATAGATGGGAAATGAAAGTCCAGGGAAGGGAGGGGACCTGACCAATATTTAGGTAGGTGGTAGTTGACAGTTGGAGGGGCACTTGGGGCTTCTTTCCCTTTGATAAATCTATTCAAGATGCTTTCTTCCAGGCACAGGGGATACGACGATGAGTAAGATGGTTCCTATTTACTTGGCTCTTACTATAGTTGAGGGTTTCAAACAGTAGTCAAAATAAGTTAATTAGGACTTGTTAGATAGAAATGAATGCTGTGAGGGGGTAAAGGCAACCAAACAGAGAATGGCTAGGAGGCACTGAAGAGGCTGCTACTTTGGGAGGTAAAAAAAGGCCTCTCTGAGGAGAGGTGGTAAGGAGCCAGTCCCAAAAAGGCCTTGAGGAATAGTGCTCCAGACAGACTGGGTGCTAAAGCAGAGACCCTCAGACCAGAAAGAACTTGATGTGTTCCATAAACTGAAAGGAGGCTAGTATAAGGATGGGGCCAGAAGGGCAGATAGTAGCCTGTCCTGTAAGCCTCAGTAGGCCAGAGTTAGTTAGGGCTTTTGGTTTCTACTGTGTGCTGTAGGAAGTCTTTTCAGGTTTACATAGGAGAGGGGATGATGTGATTTATATTTAAAGAGATATTGTCCAGTTGGTGTGGCTCAATGGTTGAGCATCGACCCATGCACCAAGAGGTTGCCAGTTTGATTCCCAGTCAGGGCACATGCCCAGGTTGTGGGCCCTATCCCCAGTGGGGGGCATGTAGGAAGTGGCCAATTGATGTTCTCTTTCATCTATGTTTCTATCTCTCCCTCTCCCTCTCCCTTTTTTTTTTTTTTTTTTTATCCTCACCCGAGGACATTTTTCCATTTTTTGTTCAGGTAGAGTGGGAGGGAGAGAGAGGAAGAGAGAGAGAGAGAAACATCAATGTGAAAGGAACACATCGAGTGGCTGCCACCCTCACGACCGACCAGGGCCGGGGACAAACTGCAACCGAGGTACGTGCCCTTAGCGGGAACCGAACCCGGGTCTCTCTGGACCGCAGGCCGACGCTCTAACCGCTGAGCCAAACCAGCCAGGGCTCCCTTTTTCTCTCTCTAAAATCAATGAAGAAAAATTATTTTAAAAAAATTTTAAAGAGATATCCAGGTTCTTACTGTACCTCTGGCTAGTTCCAGGAGATCAGGAAACTTATATTTCTTACTCACTACCTTATCACCAACATCTAGTAGGGAGCCAAGTAAATGTATATTGGGTAAATAAATGAACAAAATGAACACACCAATCCATCCTTCCAAAAGTTTGTGTGATGATTGTACAATGATGAAATAACTTGGGTTTCCTTCAGGCCAAGTACTAACTCTCACTGTCACTATTTTAGGACAGAGGCCTGGCTTAAAGTACTGGTATGATAAGGAGTGGTTGACTAGGGGACATATGCATGGCCTGGCGTTTTTAGAAGAGAACTATTCCCACCAAAATGCCAAGAAGATTGTGGCCACCCACCAGCTTCTTGGGGATGTGCAGAGAGTGATCGAGGTTCTGCATGGCCTACAGCTAAAGATGAGCATCTTGCAGTAAGTGTGACACCTGCAACTTTGGGGATGTGTCTGATTTGTCATGGTCTGGGGAAAGGATAAATGTGAGAAACTGGAAAGCTACAAAATCAAGATAGATGACCTTACCAACAATTCTTAGTTATAAAACATTTTTAAAAAATCAACTTTACTGAGGTATATTTACATAAATTAAGTTCACCCATTTTAAGCATTCATTGAGTTTGACAAATGTATATACTCTTGCAACCATCACCATAATCAGGATACAGTCTATATATTTATAGTTTAAATGGTTTTTGTTTTGGTGTACAGTTCTGAGTTGTTTTGTTTTTTAAATTGTGGTGAGATATACATAATATAAAAATTACCATCTGCCTGGCCCATGTGGCTCACTGGTTGAGCATTGACCCATGCACCAAGAGGTCACTGGTTCTATTCCCGGTCAGGTCACATGCCCAGGTTGTGAGCCTGAACGCCAGTGGGGGCATGCAGGAAGCAGCCAATTGATGAGAGAGGAAACATCTCTCTCATCGATGTTTCTATCTCTCTCTCCTTCTCTCTCTTCCTCTCTCTCTAAAATCAATAAAGAAAAATATTTTTAAAAAAGATTATCATCTTAGCCCTGGCCAGTTTTGCTCAGCAGTTAGAGCATTGGCCCTGAGACCAAAGAATTGGCAGGTTCAATTCTGGTCAAGGGCATGTACCTCTGTTGCAGTTCATCCCTGGCCCTGCTTGGGGTCGTGTGGGTGACAGCCAGTCGATGTGTCTCTCTCACGTTGATGTTTCTCTCTCTGTCTGTCTCTCTCTTCCCTCCCTCCTTCCCACTCTATCTGAAGATAAATGGAAAAAATATCCTCGAGTGAGGATTAAAAAAAAACATTTACCATCTTAACCATTTTTTTTTATCCTCACCAGAGGACATTTTTCCATTTTTTTTTCAGATAGAATGGGAGGGAAGGAGGGAGAGAGAGAGAGAGAGAGAGAGAGAAACATTGACACATGAAAGGGATACATTGAGTGACTGCCTTCTGCACAACCCCAAACGGGGCCGGGGACAAACTGCAACCGAGGTATGTGCCCTTAGTGGGAACTGAACTCTGATATCTCTGGACCGCAGGCTGACTCTCTAACCGCTGAGTCAAACCGGCCAGGGCTTAACCATTTTTCATTGTACAGTTCAGCAGTGATAAGTGCATCCAATTTCCAGAACTCTTTTCCAGAGCTCTTTTCAGCTTATAAAACAGAAACTCTGTACTCATTAAATAACTTCTCTCCATTTTCCGTCCCCTAACCCTCTGGCAGCCACCACTCTACTTATTGTCTCTATGCATTTGACTACTATAAGTACTTCATTTGTCTTTATTTTTTAAATGTTTTTATTTATTTTTTTAGAGAGGAATGGAGAGGGGGAGAGAGAGAAACATTGATGAGAGAGAAGCATCAACATTAATCAGCTGTCTCCTGCACAACCCCTACTGGGGATG